CAAATTATGGTCAGTTTTAGAGGACATGGTCGGCTCTAAACGACACGGTGACATTGAGTCTCTTAAAAAATCTTTGGGCAAGCAGTGGCGAAATTTCCCTTGGAAAAAGTGCGTAAAACCATAGATTCGTGGGCAAAGAGATTATGGCCTGTAAAGTCAAAGGTGGCCATTTCAAATTTATTTTTTATTATTTGCTGACTTTAATGAATATGTAGGTATAAATTTCAATAATCTTACATTGAGATATTTATTTTAAATGCTCTTACATTTATTTTCATAGATGTTAGTTTGTTGTTGTATTTTCCTTCCCTATTAAGTTTAGGTAGTGTTGCCAAACTGGATTATTAAACTTCGAGATAGAAATGACAAAATAATGAACAATTAATATCAGTACAAGTTAAATGCACCGCTGTGATTAAAGAAAATTAAAACAAATACTTAATATTTCAACACTCTAAGTACTTAGAAACATTGTAAAGATCCATTTGAGAATCAAATCGAGTTTAAATTCACGAATCGGCGCGTAAACTTTCAACGTTTTTGAACAAGCACCGTCTGTTGTTCGATAACAACCCATTGTTGTACTCCCTGAGTTTTCTTTGGGAATTATGCGATTACTTCGTACTTTCATTGTAACTTTAAATTGGCTCTATAACTTGGTTGGATTGCGACATTTAATTTGATCGAAAACTTCTTACTGGAGGATTTTCAATTCTTAAAACTTCGCAAGGATGGGCGACTTGGCAAGGGTTCCGCGCCTCCAAATTGTACCTCAAGGGCAGCTGCTTCGGGAATGAAATTGCTACTGGATCGGAAACACGACTTGTTGGGAAGAACCGCTGAGAAACTCGGAGAGTTGATGCCATGGGCCTGGTTTTACGTCGAACTCACCAACAAGTTCGACGAGTTCAGTGACCTGAATTATGCCTTCTCTAGTTTTAGTACTAGACTTGTTGGGAAGAGCCGTTGAGAAATTCGGAGAGCTGATACCATGGGCCAGGTTACACGTCGAACTCATCAACAAGTTCAGTGACCTGAATTATGCCTTCTCCTAGTTTTAGTACTAGAAGTGGTTGATAATACTGAGAGTGGATCTGTTGGGAAACAGTGCTCTCTTGTCAGATCGTCGTGACTCCTTACGGGGCAGGGTTCGGGCTTAGGGCAGCTCCCTCCACCCGGACTGTGGGCTCCTTGTCTCGCTGGACATGGCTGGTGTATTGTTGGTGGTGTGTTTGTGAGGATAGAAGATGGGTCTGAGGTTGCATAGAATACTCGTATTTACGGTTTTCTGTCTTTATTGCTACTCTTCTTTATACTAGTGTGCGAGTCACTAATCAACTCCAGTTTTTTATTATTTATCTATACTAATATTATAAAGAGGAAATATTTGTTTGTTTGTTTGTATTGAATAGGCTCCGAAACTACTGATTTGAAAAAAAAAAATCACTGTTTGGAAGCTCACTATTCCCAAGTGACATAGGCTATAATCTTTCTTGAAAAACATTAGGGATCCTTACTAAAACTCCGATAATGTAACCCAAGGTGTAAAAAAAATACCTAAGATATTCTTTACATCCCTGCGTGCTCTGCGAAAACTATTGATGATAGAATAAAATAATGTACTACGACTTTCTAGAACACATTATTACTTATTTACAAAAAGTGTCGCGACAGCATATGTCTAACTATTATAGTTATGCCGCAATAAGTGTTCTTTTCTTTAAAAAAAAAACGTCAAATATCGTTGAAATTTTTGTTAAAGACTCGAGCGGAGCCGGAGCGGGCCGCTATTTTGTATAAAAAGAGAGAGAGAAAGAAAGAAAGAGTTTTCTAATCAGTAATCGCTTTTATAGATTTCTTCCTACTCTTTTCCTCTCTCTATTCCAGCTGCAACTCGTCCCTGTTTCGTACAGTGTTGGTAACTACACCGCATCACATTTCCAGCGTCCACACCTCATTGACAATATCCTTAATACATTTCGAACGGTTTTGGACATTAACATTATTAATTAATTAATTAATTAATTAAACAAAGGAACGGCGGTCTAAAGTAATGAAAATGTTTATCTCTTACAAAATAAAGTTACGTTGTATATAAATATCAATACCGTTTTCTTTAAAGTTTTCCGCAGTAACATTCTGCAATTATTTAGTATTTAGTATTATTATTATTTAGTATTATTATTAAAGTATTAGTATAATTTAACATGCTAGCAATTTTTTTTAATTACTTAATTTAGCTAAGCCCAGTAAGTACTGTTTGATTTGGATATTGACTTTGAGCAGAGGGCCTTTGAATGGACCTGACTACATAATGGAGATCCTAAGTCGGGGTAAAAATTAATTATTCACTTTGTTACGATACAGTTCTTTTTATCTACCTGGTCTCATCTTAACCGCATAATCATTAAGCCATCAGCCACCGGAATAGAACGCTTTCTTACCACTTAGAACCAAGGCGCTTAGAGGGTGTGTCTCTCGCGTTTTTTATTACCTTGATCGGTGGACCAGCTCACGGCCCACCTGTTATTAAGTGGATACCGGAGCTCATAGACATTTACAACGTAAATACCACCACCCACTTCGAGATATGGGTTCTAAGGTTTCAGTGTTTATAGTATCAGTCATTATAGTCATTATGAAAGAAATGAACTGAATATTTCTCAAATCCTATTATGGATAGCATTAAAACTCGTAAAGCTTGGTGGTAGGACTCTTATGAGTCCGCGTAGGTAGGTACCACCACCCTGCCTATTTCTGCCGTGAAGCAGTAATGCGTTTCGGTTTGAAGGGTAGGGCAGCTGTTTTAATTATACTATGACACATTTACGTTGTAGATGTCTATGGGCTCCAGTAACCACTTAACACTAGGTGGGCTGTGAGCACGTACACTCATCGACGCAATAAACAAAAAATTGTAGACAGTTCGGCATATCGAGGGTAATACAACAAACAACAATGTTCATGTAATTTATAAAAGATTAATTTCATTCTTCTGTCGGTAATATCAACAACACTCCGAAATCGGGTCAGACAGCTTAATCGAAGTCAACAATATCTCGCTCGTAAACTTTGATTCCATATTGAGCTTTCAATATATACTTTGTAACAAATAAATTCATTCGACGTTTGTTTGAAAAACGATTTGTATTGTTTAACTTTTCTCATACGAGTGAGTTCGTTTTTGAAGCTGTTTATGGATCGAGAGACAAACAAATTATTTATTTTCATATCTTGGGTAAATATTTGTTTTTATGCTGTCTTTCGGATGGTGAGGCGTATTGAGAGGTGGGGTGAAGCGTCCATATGTGCGTGGCAGTAATCATCTTATGGTAATCACTTCAAACTAGGTGGGTAATGAGCTTTTTTTTATGATTGCATGGTTACTGGTGGCCCGAAGGCCTTTCCAGTTTCAGCAAAGGCTCAGCCAGGAGGGGTGGGATTTGCTAACAACTGCCCGAGCGCCTCCGAAGGAGACCTAAGAACTCAAGGGTAATTGCTTCGCGAATGAATCTACTACCGGATCGGAATCGCGACCTGCGGAAAAGATTCGGCGAGAGACTCAGCGGGCTGATGCATGGGTTAGGTTGCACGTCGACCTTTTTGTCGAGCTCGACGAGTACGGTTACCGGGGTCCCTAAGCCTGCTCCTACTATTAGAGCTGAAGGCGTCTAGTGCAAAGGTTATTGGATCTGATGGATCCGTAAGGGCTGTCTAGGGCGTCGACGGTCACTGGCTCCTGCACGATCAGGATTCGGGGAGTAGTCAGCGGTGGTAACGATAAGGCGATTATCATGACTATGGATAATGAGCTCTTTCCTGTACAAACACACAATAGCAACACAACGACAACAAAACATTACCACAATATACGAACAAATATACCGACTCACGCACAATCCGTACGCTTTTATTTCTGAAAATATTAATGAAACGAAATGACTTTTTGTATCTATACTAATATTATAAAGCTGAAGAGTTTGTTTGTTTGAGCGCGCTAATCTCAGGAACTACTGGTCAGATTTGAAAAATTATTTCAGTGTTAGATAACCCATTTATTGAGGAAGGCTATAGGCTATATAACATCACGGTAAGACCAATACAAGTGGAGTACCAATAAATAATGTTTCAAAATAGGGCTTTAAATAACTCCATAGCACTCTAAAATTCCAAAATATTTTCACTTTCTACGTAAATTAAGTGGAGGGTGAAACTTAGCATTATGCCAAAGTAATTATTCCACGCGGACGGAGTCGCGGGCAAAAGCTAGTTTAAATATAATTGGGAACGTCGGAAAATGAAGGAAAGTCAATTGATCATCGTCGGACAGGAAATCGCAATTTTTTTCCACAATCTGATCCGAACAACCATTCCCGAATGTTCAAATTCATTAGAACTTCAACGATAAATAAAACGAACCGAAATATTTGATACAGCATTGGGAATTTTATTTAAAAAAATTCAATGAAATTTTTCAGTTGTAATATATTGGTTTTTGACAGAGATGATACATTAGAATGAATTTAATGGCTTCATTTCGATTGTTTTGTAATTAGTAATAAAGTATTTATAACTTGAACCACTTTTAGTTATTCAACTTAAATCTCTATTTTGATGTATTTAAAGGTTATTTATATTATTCACAATGAGCTCTGGTTTCACTAATAATTACCATGGTATTTCTGTCCCGATAATTATCAAGTGGCAGCTATCGATTTATACCTAGCTGTATCTTTAAAAAATGGACATGTACATACCTACATTAATATCCTAATCGGCCTACTCGACTTGACTTTCATAAACTTTTATTTATAATTTATTCGCGGATTTTCCTATTAAACTATCACGCTTCATTTTTTTAAGCCTTTTAAGCTACATATTTTTGTATAAGTCGAAGTTTATATTTTTCCGAGTTTCATATTTTTAAACATTTATTAATTGTTCTCAATATATTCTTTTACAAATATACAATCAATTAATGTTCAATTTATTGTTCACAGAGGAGGAGGGAACGGAATTGGAACTAGAGGCATTATACAGAAGATACTGTGTCCGACTCAAGCATGCGCTATTTGTGTCAGCACTGTGTGTTACGTTAGCGTGTTGCGTCACATTGCTGACGATCGTCTGCATTCAGCATTCACAAGTAAGTAGTCCTTTAACTCCTTTACTTTTAAAAATATTTATTACCAACTAGCTGACCCGGCATACTTCGTAGTGCCTCAATCTATAAATAAAAGACCTAAACTTTTGAATAAAATAAACTTAAACCAAACAAAAGGAATCCGTCCGACGGGGGACACATCAAACGAAAAACGAAATTGTTATTTTTATTTTTATTCCGAGCATTTTCATATTTATCTATATTTTTATTAATAATTTAAGACCAAAAATAGCCAAATCGGTCCAGCCGTTCTCGAGTTTTAGCGAGACTAACGAACAGAAATTCATTTTTATATAATAGATAGATGATAGATGAGATAACAATAATATCAAGACTACAATGCAGACACTGCCCACCTTAGCAGCGAAGATCGGTCTCGCGAAAACGTATTGCACGAGTAAATACACTAAAATACACGTCGCTGTCCCGAAATACATGTAGCATTGTCTTAAATTTATTTAGTAACAGACCTAATGTTGTTATTGCGGGATTTCTATCCTTAATTAGTCAAAGCACGAGGCTCCGGAGGCGAGGAGAATCTTCATTGTGGTCGCACAGCGGTCGGTTACAACGTTTAAATAAATATTCTTGTTTAATTTACTAATTTACGTTGGCAATTATGTTGTGTTTTTATTTTATTAACGTTAACGTGTTAACGAAGTCTAACTCCGAACCGATCTTTTGTGACCAGAGGCGGTGGACATCACAACTTTAATACCATGCACCACTTTGAGACATGAGACTTAGTTTTTTTTTCCTGCCTAAGCTGGTAGCCTTGAGAGGCTATTCCAGCGTAACCTTAACTAGTAGGTGAGCTCACGGGGCTCAAACCTGACGACGTTGCTAACACGAACCCTAGCAAGAGCCGTGCTTCGCAGAATCTACCACCGGATCGGAAACGCGACCCACTGAGAAGATACGGCGAGAAACTCAGTGGGCTGTGTCTGAGGGTTAATTTGCTCGTCGAGCCCTTCGTCGCAAGCGACGGGTTCAACTAGAACGGTGACCGGTGCTTGAAGTACCTAAAAGCACCGTTAGTGGATCGGGAGGATCCGAAATGACGTGTTTTGGGCGACGTCGACTGCTTTCCATTCTGTCCGCAGGATCGGGAATGTAGTTACCGGCGGCCACGATGAGAGGGTTCTCGTGTCGTGCCGCTTTATCGATTAGACTAAGTCTCAAATGTACCGGAATAAACGTCCAAAGCCGCCATCTTCAGACGCGACGTCGCAATCTCCTGCTTACAGTTATTTGAGTGGAGTAAAAATTTTCTTTTATTACATGTAAAGAAAACCATTTTCGTGGCTGATCGGATCTGATCGGAACTGAATTTGTAGAATTGTTGTATTTTCTTCGGTTTTCGCGACCCGTAGAGTCAAAGCTGTTGTATGAGCACAATGTTTAAATGTCTATGATATAATGTTAGTAAAAAAAGTAAGATTAAACCGTAAAAGTAGGTTTGATGATCGCAGAAATTGCTTTTAACACGAATTCATGAACAGATTGGTTTGTTTTTTGCTTTCTTACCCTAGAATCTAGAGGTATCTTGTTTTCCAAATCTCTTCCCCGGGGACAAACCTATCCATAACTCGACCATAACTCAAATATGTTGATTTGACTTAAATTGACAACAATGACACAATAGCTTTAAAACACACAAGTACACATAAGAGTTTTCGCAGAAATATGTTGAGAGAAAAGGCATCAACTCCTTTGACAACAATCCCGACAACTTCATCCTTGTTTTTACTTTATAATTTGCATGTTTACCTTGTTGCGGGTTCAACACATAGCTCGGCCATGTTGTGGAATCCGCCTTTAGATATAATATAAAAAAAATACTATTTAAAAAGAAGAAAAAAAAGTAAACAATGGATACATTTTTTTTATTTTTTATTGCTTAGATGAGTGGACGAGCTCACAGCCCACCTCATGTTAAGTGGTTACTGGAGCCCATAGACATCTAAATTTCAGATACTTTTAAACTTCAATCTAAAGCAGGGGTTTCCAAACTTATTTTGTTTACTGCCCACTTTGGGAATACATTTTTTTTTCGCCCCCATTTTTTTACTTACGTAAAGACTACTATAGCGAGAGCTCAGTCGGTATTTAAGAGTCCTTCTAGATGAAATTACAAATCGCCTCCCAAACCTCTATACAACGCCTCCCATTTTTTTTCTGGGTCTCTTACCGCCCCCCTTTAAGCCTGCAGCGCCCACTTTGCGAAAAGCTGATCTAGAGTTATCAAGATTTCTATGGACCTCAAAAACGAGCACAAAATAATAATCAAACCGAAGTCTACCTTTCTTTCCCGTTGTACGGTGGTATGATTAATATCTTTGGGCTCCAGTAAGCACTTAGCATTGAGAGGGGCGTTCATCCACCAAAAAATATGTCCAAGAATTTTTTTCGTTATATTTTCAGCTGTCGGGGAACATTGCGAATTAGGAGCGCAGGAATTGTGTGCGACGTTAGAAATGTTCAACCCGTGTATATAATATTACGAGTATATAGGTATAGTTTAAGTTGGCGTAAACGCTTCGATGCGCGGAGTTTACATTATAAAGACAAATATAAAATCTATTTCGTCGCCACTTTAAAAATAAATAGACAATTCAAGGAAAACATGAGCTCTTTCCTCTTAGTGGTAGGCATTATTAATGGTGTGTAGTGTTTTGTGAGATCCTATGCACTTAACACCAGGTTTCTTTTTTTTAAAGTTATTTTATGTCCTGGTAACGAAGACCTTTAGGTTATTTCAATTCATATTCTTATTTTTATAAAAATGATAATATGAAGTGAAATGAAATGAAGATGATTAATTTGAGACATTAATCAACTGGGATGAATTGATGAAATTCCACATTTGTGCACTGTCACAGATATTAAACAGTTATTAAACCATATTACACATTTAAACCTGAAGAAACACTAAATAGACAAAATAAAACAAATCATACAACTTCACTCCTCGCGTTCCCGCCAAAATGTCCTCTTAACACCAGGTGTTACTGGATCACCAATATTAATAATAAAAAAAATCTAAATAACATTGCTTCCCACTTCTTCTTCTGAGTCGGTCTCTTCATTGCTGAAGGTCGTGTCTAATTTGAAATGTGGACCACTCGATTCACATTGCTTCCCCACGTCTTCCTGTCCTCGGCGGTCTTTATAGCCTCGGTTATTGGCAGGCCGGTCAGCGTCTTTACCAGATCAGATCAGCAGGTAAGTGAGCATCCGCGTGATCTTCTCCCGTCAACCTGACCAACTACCATCAGCTTTTCTAAGTTATCGGGGTCTCTACGAGCGAGGTTCCCATTATGTTTCCCACTTAAAGAGATGATTAACGATAGAAGTGATGTTAGAAAAATTGAATCAACGATTTCAAACATCATATTGTTAGAATATTACCTAGAGAGGTCACGTTCGAGTGCTACAACCGCCATTGTAAGTCTGAGAGTATCGTTATCGTTGCAACTCGAAAAATTGAGAGATTTCGTTCGATTTCGATAGATTTCTTTTAATTTTTTTATTGCTTAGATGGGTGGACGAGCTCACAGCCCACCTGGTGTTAAGTGGTTACTGGAGCCCATAGACATCTACAACGTAAACGCGCCACCCACTTTGAGATATAAGTTCTAAGGTCTCAGTATAGTTACAACGGCTGCCCCACCCTTCAAACCGAAACGCATTACTGCTTCACCGTAGAAGTAGGCAGGGTGGTGGTACCTATCCGTGCGGACTCACAAGAGGTCCTACCACCAGTAAATTCAGATTTCGTGCAGTATCTAAAGTAGATAAACATTTTTTGGCATAATTACATGGCAATGACCAGAAAACGAACAGAAAACATTTTATTGTTATAGTCTGGAAGCTAGAGAACGAGGTCATTAAATTGGATTAAGAAGAAGCAACGTTATTTTTTAAGTTTAAGGACTTTTTTCGTTTACAATCAATCCTTATAAGAACACCCCCTGTATAATTCATTCGTCTATTCATTAACGAATTTACCAAGACACCGGCTTTCGTTTTGTTTCATTCGTTTGAACAGCTTTGATCGGTAATTATAATTCGTCTTTGTAAGTTTTACATTAATTGTTTTTTTGTAGAACGTCCAAAATAATTGTAGGTTGTTATATTATTTAGTTTCTGTTTGTAGCTCCAGTGTTAGCTTCGCTGTTATCTTAGAAGTTAAGCAAGAAGATTGTTCCAAAGAAATCTATGTTTTTCTTAAACGAACTCTTTTTTTTTTCTAGAATATTGATCGATTCGTGCTTTTCCTACTGGACTTAGTCAAGTGTGTGTGTCAAGACACGTCATGACCTGCGCTGGCAAGAAAATGGCCTACGCTCGATGTTGTGATTCGAATCTAGTAAAGTTCAATCCTATTAGCGCTGCTTTACCGAAGCCTATTTTACCTACTGAACTGATTGTACGTGCAATTTTATTTCAAAATGTCGTCATTATTACTAGCTAGGGCATCTTGTGAGCTCGCATGGGTAGATATCACGAGCCCGCCTATATCTGCTGCGAAGCAGTAATGCAGTCCGGTTTTAAGGGCGGGACAACTGATATATAGTGCGGTCTCTGAGGGCTTGAGTAGTAACTTAACATAAGGCGTGCGCTTATTCATATACATAAAAGTGCTGTCTCGAAATTCCTGAAAGTTTTGTTTATTATAATTTAGGATATTCACGATCGACTTACCCAATGAAAGGTTATAATTTTTTTTCAGTCATTGAGGATAGGCCGTGTTTGGAGCCCAAATAGAAAGGTGCCATCGTGCATCATATTTCTGCGCAAAGCTATTATCTCTTCTGGTGTCCTTTTAACATCGATTAGTTTCTAACCACTTCACTCGATACGTTCGTAGCACGATATCCGTGTAGTGTACACAGAGACTGGATGCATCAGATATTGCATTAACTGTTCTCCCGAGGCAAGCCTTATTCGATTAGGGGTCAGTCGATTAGCTCTAGACGCTTCGAAGATCTCATTTGGTAACCTTAATTTACGTTGGAACTAAGTAGCTTCAAGCAGATACTTCTCCGTGTCTGTGGTGATCATGGATTTATTAGCGAGTGTTTAATAGTTAAAAATTGTTGTTTACTCTAGGTAAAAACTATACAACAACACTTTAATCACAATTAAAACAAATTTTACGGTTTTAGCTTGCGTATGTGTTGTATTGGGGTGTATGTTTGATGTAGTGGGTAATCACGGATATATTCTATACTAATATTATAAAGCTGAAGAGTTTGTTTGTTTGAACGCGCTGATCTCAGAAGCTACTGGTCCGATTTGAAAAATTCTTTCAGTGTTAGATAGCTCATTTATTGAGGAAGGCTATAGGCATATAACATCAATAAGGCTATAACATCACGGCAAGGCCAATACAAGTGGAGCACCAATAAAGAATGTTTCACAATAGTGGTTCAAAAAGCTCCTTAACATTCTATAATTTAAAAATATTTTCACTTTCTACGTAAATGAAGTGGGGATAAAATTTAGCGTTATGCCAAAGTAACTAAAGCTAGTATATGAATATAGTCGTCTGTAATTAATAGCCCATTACAAGAAAAAAATTATTTTTTTATTTTTTTATTGCTTAGATGGATGGACGAGCTCACAGCCCACCTGATGTTAAGTGGTTACAGGAGCCCATGGACATCTACAATGTAAATGCGCCACCCACCTTGAGATATAAGTTCTAAGATCTCAGTATAGTTACAACGGCTGCCCCACCCTTCAAACCGAAACGCATCACTGCTTCACGGCAGAAATAGGCGGGGCGGTGGTACCTAGCCGCGCGGACTCACAAGCGGTCCTACCACCAGTAATGCACACAAGGAGACCTGTGATATAAAAAAAAGATATGTTCGAGCTTTAGGAGCTAATGGAAGTAAGTGTACGTATTGTTTTTGTCTCCCTTGTGTTTTCAGTAGCGGTAACGCAGGATAAAATCCTACGAGTAGCTTCCGGTCGTTTTGCGTGAACCGTTTATTTCTCAAGTAATTCTACATCTTTCGGTATACAGTGAGTGGCCTTCTCTCGCGAAATTCCCTCGGATCCTTTTCAGGGTTGCACAACACATTGGGGACATGATTTATCTATCGTTTCTATGTTGTTATGTTCAATGTTACGTCATATTTGCTACGTTGTTGTCGGGAAGAAATATGATACGTATGTCTCTCAAGTGAATACAATATTCTAGAACAAAAATGTGCGGGTAAATTCATCGTGTAAATTCTGATTAATGTCTGTGAATTTATAAAGACATGAAAACGTTTTTGTAATATAAAATTACATTGCCATACTAAAGGAATACTAAAATACTCATTTTTTTACACTCTCCCCATCAATCTATGCTCTATATATCTATATACTTATTACATATATATGCAGATAGAACGCGTAGGGAAAGGGTAGGAAGGGCCCCGTTCCTTCTCAGCAAGATAGCAGAAAGTGGTAATTCTCCACAAATTTTTAGATTAAAAAAAAGTCAAAAAACGTTTAGGAAAAAAAATAATTAAGCGACTATCACCTGACTCTCGTACTATTTTTTTTTTATTGCCCTTGTAGGCAGACGAGCATACGGCCCACCTGATGGTGAGTTACCGTCGCCCATGGACTTCAGCAATGCCAGGGACAGAGCCAAGCCGCTGCCTACCGCTTAATACTATACATAGATAAATTGGATGAAAGTTACTACGATTTAGCTAGCTATCTACGGTACCCTAAAAACTATTTTCGCCTACTATACCCCGAGAAAGTAAGCCGGAAACGGTTGTAAAGGGGCTAGTAAATTAATAGTGGGATGTAAAAACAAAGCAAACTTAATGTCATTCCCACTGTATGTATTTTATTTGAAACTTGAGGTTCAGCTTTCCTTCTATATGACCACTAAGAGAAATTAGCTCTTAACATTTAGGTAAACACGATGTAGAATGTCGTATGAGTAAGCCATACAGTTGGCTTTTAGAGTAGAAGACATTGATCGGTCAAACTTGTCCTAGAATTGCCTAATTACTCGCCTGCTCTCTGCAGATTCTTCGAAATTTGATATTGAGATTTTCCTTCTGAGATGCAATTCATGACATCACTACACTTTACGATAAAAAAAATTAAATTCGGCCGTGAAAATATTTATCTTCAAAATTAAATATAACATAACACTTTATTTGACACCATAATATGTACAGAGTAAGCATATAAAACAAATAATAGTCGGTGACATAAATTGGCGGCCTTATCGCTGAAAGCGATCTCTTCCAGGCAACCTTGCAGGGAGAGGAATAAGCGAACTGGACGGTGCTATATCTTAATAAACTTACATAAAAATATATACTTACATACATATGTGAAAAATAAATACAGTATAAGATAGACTTACATACGATTAAATACAAATAAATATACAAGTAAATACAAAATAAGTAGCAACTTGTACAATTATATTGTAGGAGACATATTATTGTGCAAGGTAGTGCGATTTTTATCTGAACTTGAAAATTTCCGACGAGGACGATTGTTTGATGCATAAGGGTAGTGCATTCCATAAACGGACTGCTTCAACCGTTAAGGTATTTAAAACTAACGGCAGAAGTAGCCAGGATGCTGTCACATATTCTAGCTATAGCTAATCATTTCTTGCCGAACCTTTTGCCGGACCACCTGCGTGGTTGCCGTGACGTTGCCGGGGAATAAATTAGACTAATAAGATGGTAGATGGTATATAGTCAGCGCAGAAGAGTCATTTAACGTTATACCAATATATGACTCTTCTTCACTGCCTTTACGACCGACCCTCATACGAGACAGAGCCTGGAGAGGTATGGCGGATTAGTACAGTCAAGGGTCCTACAAAACAATAATATAAAATACAATGCTTGTGAGAAATATAATTTGTCCAACCTCTGTGAATATGAGAGGTCAGAAACAATTTAACTTCCATAATATCTGAACCTTTAATGCCAACTCGCGTACTTAATTAAGGTAAATTGTATAACATAATAATATGTTACACCTATTGGGAACGCTAAAAGGAAGCTACTTAAAACTGGTTGTCGGTAAAACTTACAATTGCATTCGATTTGCAGTAAGTAAGTTTTTGAAACTTTTCGAAATTGTATGTCCTAATTATTTGAGTTACAAAATAACAGGATTCCGAATTTACTTTTACGTCACTAGTGAAAATTAAAATTAAAATTATTTGGCTGACCTAATATTGAGGCACTCCAACCCTGGGACCGGTGACCCAGTGATCAGTGGGAGAACGGACACCCAAAAAAAAAGGGTGCGTGTACTTATGTACGTTCGTAAGAAGTTATACTGTATTTGAGTCGACTATTGTCAAAGCCGGCAATCTGACTTTTGGACAATGATTGGTAAATCAGAAAAACGAATTATTGACTTTGTATTCCATTGGCAGTCACAAAACTCTTCAGAACGACATCTTAGATAAATAACAGGTTAAGTATTAACCTTTATTTAATGCAGGTTTTGAACCGTATTCTTTGAAGGAGACGATTATATTCAAATCAATCTGTATTGACATATCAATAATTTTTTTTGTCCAAATGCACAGATTGCCACCTTTGATAATAGACGACTCATTTTTATTAAATTTATTTCTTTTTTTTAATTTAAATTTTAACCAATTTGAAAAAAAATCGACATCAAGCGACATCACACAAAAAGCAACATCCTCAAACACGCATATTGGACACTCTTTTTCTTGACATCGTATAAATTCGGTAATTCTCGGTACGGTTCGGAAAGTTCATCTGCGGCTATATTCAGACTCGCCAAGTTACGTCGGTCGTATTGTAATGAGCGATTTAGTGGGTAACTTCATTCTGTTAATTTTGTGTCACGGTGCGCGCGCATCGTAAAATTTCACTCTCATCAATTTTTCATAACGCGCCTAAAGAAGTATAACTTCAAAATAATTAAATGATGAAATGAAGATCAGTGTGGCGGTTAAGAAATTTCAAAACACTTTTGTTTTCTTGTTACAGGAACTGTCAACGCAAGTGAAGGCCATCACGACTCTCTCGGTCATAACCTTCGTGCTCACGATAGTTCTGTGCTTGGAGCTGCTGCCGGCTGCAGCAGAGTGTGAGACCTTGGCGCTATCAGGCTCGTTACTTGTGACAGTATGCCTTGGGGCTGGTACTCTTGTAGCAACCAATCACGCACCGCTGCCTCTCTTTGCTTTGATTTTGGTAAGTATTGTTCACGATGTTCACGATTGACTTCCACGGTGAAGGAATAACATCGTGTAGTAAAAATCAAACCCGCAAATTATAATTTGCGTAATTACTGGTGGTAGGAACTCTTTAGAGTCCGCGCGGGTAGGTACCACCACCCTACTTATTTCTGCCGTGAAGCAGTAATGCGTTTCGGTTTGAAGGGTGGGGTAGACCTTAGAACTCATGTCTCAAGGTGGGTGGCGCATTTACGTTGTAGATGTCTATGGGCTCCAGTAACCACTTAACACCAGGTGGGCTGTGAGCTCGTCCACCCATCTAAGCAATAAAAAAAGTATTAATTTTGGTAAGTAAATATTTTAATTGCCCTTGTAGGCAGACGAGCATACGGCCCAGCTGATGGTGAGTGGTTACCGTCGCCCATGGACTTCAGCAATGCCAAGGGCAGAGCCAAGCCGCTGCCTACCGCAAATTTCTATTATTTCTATTACCGCAAAAGTATTTGACACTAGATTTCTTGCAGCTCTATTTTGTGTATCGCAGAGAAGCTTATAGTTGTACATCTCGTGTTGACGTGGCCTATCACTATATAGTATAAAACAAAGTCGCTTTCTCTGTCCCTATATCTGTCTGTCCCTGTGTATGATTTAATCTTTAAAACTATGCAACGGATTTTGATGCGGTTTTTTTTAATAGATAGAGTGATTGAAGAGGAAGGTTTATATGTATAATAAATAAATAAATAAATAAATAAATAAGCCTTTGTTGCTGTTAGAGTTTAACTTATTTAACTAAACATAAAATAATAACAATAGAGGTAAGAAAACTATAAAATTAACTTATACTAAAACATATCTCGGCATTCGGCTTATCTCTCCTCTTAACAGCTTGTCTTTCGACAAAGGCCTCCTCTAAGGATTTCCATTTGCTTCTGTCCTTTGCTGTACGTAACCATCCTGGCCCAGCTACTTGCTTCAAGTCGTCTTCCCATCGCTTCGGCTGTCTTCCTCTGATTCTTTTGTTTTCTCTAGGGTACCATTCCGTTATTATTCTGGTCCATTTTTCTTTCTTTTCTCTCATCATATGTCCCGTCCAGCGCCATTTTAATTTTCTGCATATTGATTGAACTTTTCCAAATTTAGTCTCTCCTTTGATCTTTTTTAGTTCTATTTTATCCCTTCTTCTTACTCCCAATACGCTTCTCTCTATCCCATTCTGACATATATTTAATTTATTTTGTTGTTTTTCAGTTAGGGCCCATGTCTGGCATCCGTATGTAAGATATATGTATAATAACATCCATTAAATATTTTAGAAATCAATAATAAATTACAGTTTCCGAAGCGAAGCGAAGGCGAGTCGCTAGTTGTATATATACCCTTAACCCTAACGTAAAGTGATTAGTTCGCGGAAAAAAAGATCAATTCGTTTCTCGTAATTTATCTCGGGTTCAGATTCAAATAATTAATTTTCTTTTAATAAATCACTTAATATTGATTTTAACAGTTTTTATTGTTTAAGTTGTGAATTCACAAAATAATTATTAACAAATTTGATTTTTGGTATCTCTATTCTGTTTGAGATTTGTTGAGAAGCAAATTAGTAACAAAAAAAATGTTGTAAATTTTTTATATATGGCCGAGAGCTCAGTACTTCATACAGCAATATATCCGGATTTACTGCGAAGCTTCTGAAAGGGGTTAAACGAAGAAAAACTAAGTTCGCTTGAAGCTCGCGATCTTCAGAAAGCGAGAATTTAGTTAAAGCTTCGAATGGGAAAATCGAATGAACTTAACGAAGTCTATCTTCGGCTCTGTCTTTGAGAGTCTATTGAATTTTTAACGGCATTTAGATGAGTTGAAAAATGAAATATACTATAGAATTTCCATATAATTCCAAAAAAATTCCATATATTTAATTTTGAAATACCTATACCATTCCTGTTCACGATCGACTTCTACGGTGAAGGAATAACATCGTGTAGTAAAAATCAAATCGCAAAATTATAATTTGCGTAATTACTGGTGGTGGTAGGACCTCTTGTGAGTCCGCACGGGTAGGTACTACCACCCTGCCTATTTCTGCCGTGAAGCAGTAATGGGTTTCGGTTTGAAGGGTGGGGAAGCCGTTGTAACTATACTGAGACCTTAGAACTTATATCTCAAGGTAGGTGGCGGGATTTACGCTGTAGATGTTTATGGGCTCCGGTAACCACTTAACACCAGGTGGGCCGTGAGCTCGTCCATGGTATTCTCGGTGGGCCGTGAATATTTATCTGACAAAATCCTTAAAAGAAATTCAGTTTTTGTCTCTGCTTTCCAAAAAAGTGATGATTTCCTGGAGTTATTTGTGAAAAAAATGAGTGATCGCGAAACCTTTACGCTATTTTAAAATTAAAAGGGAAATTATCATCATTAAAAGGGAAAAGTAATTTTATTCATAATTAGAATTTGCGCGAAATTGAGAATCTATGTAGTTTGTAAGTGAGAAATCATAAAATGTGATATCAATAAGGTATCAATAATATATGCGACGGAACAGTATAAAAAAAATCGACCGTGCTTTTAATGTTATAGAATAGGGGTCACCAGTAACAACACTTTAATTTCGGGAGTTATTTTTAACGCGAGCTTATAATACCCTATCTTATATATTATACCTTTAAACGAGCAATTCTTGTATATTAATATATATAATCTGAATCTCGGAAACAGCTCCAACGATTTTCATAAAATTTAGTATACAGGGGATTTCGTAAATCGATCTAGCTACGATTTATTTTTAGAAAATGTTGTTTTATTCGTGTTTTCAATAATCAACTCTTCCCGACATCTATTCACGAATAATGATACTATTTTTCTTAATTGAGGGCAACTAACTGCTTTAAAGACACAGCAAGATGGCGTTATCAAAAAACATGTGTGCAATTCACACGTGGTAGAAGTGAAACCTTCCAAAATTAAAATACAATTATCCTAAACGTCTTAAGTATAATATATGTAAAATTATGTCATTAGTAAATAATTGTAAGGTAGCACCCTCTGTGAATTGATATTTTAATTTCACGTATAATCCTAAATTAAAATTCACTACAAGAGCTTTCATACACACGTTAGTATTAAAAAATCTCACAGATGGCGCTGTATTAAATAAATAGTATGTATATTTCTGTTTCATTCTTTGCTGGCTTCATCCTACACATTTTTGTATTTGTGTCTCTTACCTGTCGTTTTTTCCGTTGCATCCGGTTTGAAATCACAACGATTCTAAAGAAGTTTTCACTTCAAAAAAAACCGAGCAAAGCAAAGGTCATCGTCTAGTTTAAACAAAGTATAAACGTCCCATTTATTATTTGTTGAACGCAAATTACATCATAGCTTGATTTAAACTTTCATTATACCCAATTTCGAATTGAAAAAAGACAAAGGCCAAAGTCGAAATTTAATTAAAATTTTAAAACCGTAACTAGAGTTATCCAGAAGTCCAGAAGGACAATTATTGTTTTTTTGATGACAAAACAATTTTCGCTGAGTAATTATTTATTTCAGCTTTTTGAAGAGCCACTCTTAGTTTTGAAATCTGAAAAAGGATTCTACTTCACTTTGATACCGAATCGGATTTAAAAAATACATTATAAGGTCTGTAGACGAGTTCGCGGGTCATCTAGTACTAAGAGCCAAAGATATTAAACTGAAAACGTACCACCTACTATGGTCGAACGCTAAATTTCTTTCCAATAGAGCTTACTCTAAAGTGTGAAGGTTAAATTGAAAATATGGTCATATTTTTTAACAGTAATAACCTCGAGTGATTGTTTAAGCAAATGGAACCAACAGATAATTTCATCTTTTTTATGCTGTTTATACTAGTCAGGATATTACAGTAAAGTTATATATTTTGTTGTATTGACTTAATGTAAGATATTTGTTGTAATATAATAAAAATAAATAAGATGAAATCCAACCCACGTATTTCTTCTACGTAGTTTTTGATATTATCTGAAACCACTGTGTGCTATCAGAGGATTTTTTTTGCTACACCGGCTTTGGAATTTTCTTTCTTTTACATTGTTTCTAGAGTTCTACGGCATTGTAACTATACTGATACCTTAGAACTTATATCTCATGGTGAGTGGCGCATTTACGTTGTAGATTTCTATGGGCTCCAGTTACCAGTTAACATTAGGTGGGCTGTGAGCTCGTCCACCCATCTAAGCAATAAAAAAAAATGTACATACATGACATTTACTGGTGGTAGAATCTCTTGAGAGTCCGCACGGGTAAGTACCACCGCCCTGCCGTGAAGCAGTAATGCGTTTCGGTTTGAAGGGCGGGCAGCCGTTGTAACTATACTGAGACCTTAGAACTTACGTCTCTAGGCTATAAACGATTATATTCGAACAGATTTAAAATTTTGGTTGATACCGATTTTCTTAACACGTCAAGCGTATCAACAGCTAGAAACTAAAGAAATAACTAATTACAAAAAAAATGTTTTCTTAATTGCGTAACGTGGCTTAATCTCCGCAACTTTCTTGGCTCAAAACAACGGAAAGCCGAAAACGTGACTTGGCATAATTAGTATTTATCAGAATTCTCTAATAGCAGTTGAATAGTGCAATTACCCTTGCGGTGTAATGTGTTCCAATCAAACGGGTACCAGTTCGAAATCGATCACGTACCGATAAGATTTATTTCAAACAGTACCATCATAAGACTTGGCTCTAGAACAACTTCAGATAGGTATTCGTTTTTTTTAAAGGATTTTATGACCTGGTAACTAAGACCTTTAGGTCAAGTCTTATTTTAATTTATATATTTTTATTTTTATGAAAAATGATAATATGGAGTGAAATCAAATGAAGATGATTAATTTGAGACATTAATCAACTGAGATGATATTAAATGAAATGAGATGAGATGATATGGGATGAAATATAATCTCAGTAAAATGGTGGATATTTACTAGTGAGACTTTTTCAGTGGGCTTTTTGGAGGATCCCGAGAAGCTACGTC